GAGAGAGAGAGAGAGAGAGAGAGAGAGAGAATATTCTTAACCATACATTAAACTTATATCACATAATATTTTATCATCTAATGATTGAGGGCTCGGATATATAAAAATCCCCCGAAATAAATATGCGAATTAAGGGATGACTTGACTCTAATCGTTATAAACATCAATAGATAATAAGTGCACAAAAAAGTGCTAAATTTTTAGAGATATACGATATGCCTAAAGGACTGACCAATTCTGGCGACATTCATCTTATTGTTGATTGTGGTGTCGATAGTCCTCTGAGCGATCAAAACAGTTAAAGTCATTGTCGAGTAAAAAATTACTTCGAGTGGCAATTGTCTCATAAAATCCATTTTCTTTGCTTATTATTCGTTGTCTTCTTCTCAATTGTGTCTGACGTTAACGTCAATCCATTTGTGCCTAAAGTTTGCATAAAGAAGCAGAAAAACATAAGTTAATTATAATATTTGTATTGATTTTGCACTCAAAATGTTATGGTATAACAAATATCTAAACACACAATTTGCTATTATTTAGTTTTGGTTTACTGTTTTATTAATATCTAAAAACTTATATAATGTACACTATATGACTATAATTTGTCAATATATGTACAATATTTGAGATAAAAGTAATTATTATCTAAAGATAACACTAGAGTTTTGATAAATTTGAAAAATTATTTTATAATTCTTACATCTTCTCTATATTAATGAACACAGAATATTAAAACTTAGAATTTTAACGATCAATACATAGCTAAAGAAAAAAGATTGTGGTGTCGATAGTCCTCTGAGCGATCAAAACAGTTAAAGTCATTGTCGAGTAAAAAATTACTTCGAGTGGCAATTGTCTCATAAAATCCATTTTCTTTGCTTATTATTCGTTGTCTTCTTCTGTGTCTGACGTTAACGTCAATCCATTTGTGCCTAAAGTTTGCATAAAGAAGCGAAAAACATAAGTTAATTATAATATTTGTATTGATTTTGCACTCAAAATGTTATGGTATAACAAATATCTAAACACACAATTTGCTATTATTTAGTTTTGGTTTAATGTTTTATTAATATCTAAAAACTTATATACTGTACACTATATGACTATAATTTGTCAATAAATGTACAATATTTCAGATAAAAGTAATTATTATTTAAAGATAACACTAGAGTTTTGATAAATTTGAAAAATTATTTTATAATTCTTACATCTTCTCTATATTAATGAACACAGAATATTAAAACTTAGAATTTTAACGATCAATACATAGCTAAAGAAAAACATCATTAAATGCATAAAAATTCATTAAAAAAGCAAAGAAAATGTATGAAAAAAATATGAATCGCTTTTTCTGAAAAGAAAAACGAAAGACTCACTCAAACAGAATATTCGCTGAAATAGATGTCAAATGCAAACAAAATAGAGTAGAAATTGTGTTTCAAATAGCATTTGGTTGGAGACCCATCACCAGTACCTCCATGTGTGTGCCTTTCAATGGACCGACACTTTTAGGTATGGATTTCCACCGACGCTGAAGAATGAAGGGATGAGTTTAAGCGCTGCTCTCAGTGTTTGGAAACTAACTTTTCTCAACGATATTCTGTTTATGTCAGCGAATATTATGGAGTTTTAGGTATGAGAGAGCTTTGCTTCAGCTGTTAGTGGCGTCGACCGCACCGGTAGTTTGCAATTATCACGACATACTCCCGGCCAACAATTGTTACATAATTCAGTTGATGTCCGTTGTGTTCATTGGGCATCAAATTAATTGTTTTTTAGATATATCTATAATTAATTGACTCGTTTTTATCGACGGCTACGCGACTCCAACTCCAACCAAAACGATGGGTCCTATTGTGCGGATGCGTCGACAAATAAAGCCGACTTTTTAGGCATAAAATACAATGCATTTTATGCTATAATTTATTTCGCGCACAAATAATAGACAATGTATTCAATACTTTTTTGTTCAGTATTTTTATTATTTTGTAATTTTTAATTCTTTAGCAAATATTTTCAAAAATTGCTTTAAAAATATATGCATTGAAAACATTGGGAATTCAATTAATATCGATTTGAATTTATTAAATTTGATAGTATTTTAATAAATAGTTAAATGAGGTTGGTAATAAATGGCAATGCTATAAATTTACTACAATTCGGGATATATATTCTTTACATCAATATTTTCAAAATTTTCAATCCTATTGTTTGGAAACTTTTACTGTTGCTATTTTGGGAATTAATATATTTTTAAAGTAATTACTTTTTAATCAATTGTTAGATTACTTAATAATTTTTTACCGTAGGAAAAGCATTGTCCCATTTGGACAAGATATTACTTATAGACATATCATTGCAATAGACTTAATTATCATGTCATATTAACATTAACCCATATGATTTATATTACCCTTAACACAGAATTAGCATTGCCATAGACTTAGCATTAACCCCAGTGAAATACCATACAGTTAACATGGAATATATTTTGACTTTTGCCGATAGGGTTACGATTGCCATAAATTGTCAAATTTCCAATTCTGAAACAATAATCTGATTCTGTGTTCATAGAGATCGCCACAGAATCCGCACCAGAATTGGCGTATTCTTGAGGAGTCATTCATTTATAACGTACAAAACGTGATGAGTTTGGAGTGGATTCTGTCCTCTCATTAGTTGCATTCCTGAAGTGATGCCTTTCCCCGGCTTTTGACAGTAATATTTGATAAATAGCTTCGTTAGCCATCGACTCA